ATATATATATATATATATATATATGTATATATAAATATATATACTTATTTATATAGTATACACGTATATACAAATATATATATATATATATTTGTTGTTAAATCTCTTATTTAAATTTTGAATTGTCTTTAATGCACCTTAATTCATGCGTATTTTTTTTTTAAATGATTTTATTTTCAAATTATATTTAATGCACCTCTATTCAAGCTTTTTTTTTTTTGGAAAATAATTTTATTTTCAAATTAATTTAATATCCGAATAATCTAATAGTATAACAATAACACTGTAACAAAAATAGTGTTCAGTAGTTTTGTATATATCGTAACAAATTCAAAACGGAGATGGACTATTTTGAATGAAATTATATTAAACTATATGTTTGACAAAATATAATAGTACAATATTTTGTGTAAATAGCTTGTTACACTATTATTGTTATACTGTTACATTATTGGTGTTACACTATTACACTTTTATTATTACACTGTTATTGTTATACTTTTATTATTACACTGTTATTGTTACACTATTATACTATTCGGATATTAAATTAATTTGAAAATAACACCACAAAAAAAATGCATGAATCAAGGTGCATTAAAAGATAATTCAAAATTTAGATAGGAGATTTAACCACACACACACACACACACACACACACACACACACACACACATATATATATATATATATATATATATATATATATATATATATATATATATGTATTAAAGTTCTCCCATAAAATTAGGAAATATTTAATGCACTACTTTCCAAAGAACATACACATGGATCAATGGAGGACAAAAATGTCACAAAAAAATGAGACAAATTCAAATTGTGTACTTAGATATAAATAAGTATTAAAATTAAGGACTTAATAACCCTACATTTTTTAGTGTGTACTTTTTACCAAATAAGTCTAATTTGATATCCCTCCTTATAATTTACCCAGACTATAGCAATATAGTGGATGGTCCGGCCCGATGCATTCTAGTGAAATTTATAATGCATTATAAATTGCATAGCAAGTTGTATTCATTGTGGCAAATTGTATACATGCTTCATAATTTTTTAGTTTAATTATGATATTATATGATTTTTTTATTATATTTGAACCGTCCAACCAATTGACTGAATTATTGAACCAATAACCCATTAACTCAATCATGTTATTGAGTCGATGTCTAATTTGGTTCTAATAACTATCCTCGTTTCTATCACAACATGAAAGTCATGTACTGTATCAGTATTTTTTGCAATTAAAATGAAATTCAGTGTCCTTTTTGCCATTTTTACTTGTTAAAAGCCGAAAGAAGTCTCTCTCTCTCTC